CTGGGTGCACATGAATGCATGATGCACACGTCAATAATCCTCCTCATAATAACATCATAGGTGCATCATCATTCATCATAATTATAATCACAATCATCATCATGTCATCATAAAATCATCAAAACTCATGGAAATATCATCATAGTTCATCAATCATTACATCATAAGGATCGTCATATAATCATGTACAATTCACATAGAACTCACAGTCATACTCATATTAATTCGTCAAGGAAATCACAACATCAAAACATCAAGGCATCACTGTACAAAACCAGAATTCGTGAAACTCTGCTACGTTCGCTAGCAAGTTCGTTGTGCGAGTCTAGGGCGAGTTTCTTCCCTGTGCGAAGGATTCTTCGCAGTGCGAGTCTGTGATGAGCTTCGTTTGTTGTGCGAAGGATTCTTCGCTGTGCGAACACGCGATTACAACAAAACACTATTACGCACCAGAACCTAAAATCAACCTGAAAGTCCCACGATTCACTCCCCCAATAACCCAAAACATCCCTAAACCATCTCTAAGGTCTTACGGAGATGAAGGCACAAAGTCTACGACTTATTAGGCCAATCTCGTATCATATTCACGCTCTAATTCCCATAATCTCCTTACAACTACCCCACAGTCATCAGAGTTTCTCACTATCAAATTTCCCTACAGGGTTAAACAGATGTCAAGCCAGATCTTTGGCCGAAGGCCTAATTTCCTTTTAACCCAAATAAATCCCTATATGGTTAAAACCTCACAAATAGGATTTGGCCACGAATGCCTAATTCCCTTTATCTAAAAACCAACCTCAAACCCTTAAATCGGCCTTAAATACATTGAAATTATACATTGAAAACGGTGAAGGCAATACTCCCCATACCTTAATTGCCGACTTTAATCCTTCTCTTTGACTTTCTGAAAACCTTTTGAAGCTTTTGGCTCAAACATCCTCCTCAGAGCTCTGGCCTCAATTTGTTTTCACGGTCTAATAAGAATGAATCCTAATCCCATCAAAATTCGTTTTTTGATAAACCTAACCTTGGGCCTTAAAATTGGGCTTTCCAATATTACCCTCACTAACTCCTCCTCAATTGTCCAATTTGCCCTTAGTTAACTTATATTTATTTAAATTAATAATAATACCAATATATTCATATTATATACTATTATTTAAATAAATAACCCAAAATCCATAATTCTCAATATTTCACACCAACCACCGAAAATCACCAAAAATACGAATATTCATATTTAAATAAATTAAATAAATATTCCAATAAATTTGGGGTATTACAATGATAACCAAGAAAGAAACACTTTAGTGATCGAGCTAATAGTTTATCAAGACCAGGGGAGAGATTTTGGATAAAACATGTGGACTCAAAAACTTGGGGAGGAATTGGGTGATGTAGAGAATTGGGAAAAAGGATTGAATGAGGAATTTTATTGTTAAGGACAGATGAGGGCATGCGATTTATAAGGTAACATGTCGTTAGCACAACATCCCACCAAAACCGAAGTGGAACATTACCATGGAGAAGTAGGGTTCGAATGGTTTCTACAAGATGCCAATTTCTGCATTCGACTACACCATTTTGTTGAGGTGTGTAAGGGCAACATGTTTGATGAAGAATACCATTGTGTGACATAAAATTTTGAAATTTTTGGGATAAATATTCACGGGCATTGTCATTTCTTAAGGTACGGATAGACACACCGAACTGAGTTCTAATTTCTCGATAAAATTGTTCAAAAATAGAAAATAATTCATATCTATTCTTCATTAAAAATAACCATGTGCAACATGAAGAATCATCAATAAAGGTGAAAAAATATCTAGACTAGAAAGTAGAGACAGTACGCGAGGGACCTTAAACATCAGTGTGAACTAAAGCAAAAGGGGATGAAGCTCATTTGTTGACTCGATTGGGAAATTGATTACGCATGTGTTTCCCTAACTGACACGACTCCGAATGTAAATTAGATACCTTTGATAAATTTGGCACCAACTTATGTAATTTGGAAAGACTGAGATGACCTAACTGAGCACGGATAGTGAGTGGAGAATCTTTGGCTGAGCATGTCTGAGATGACAATGAGAGGTAATAAAGGCCTTGAGACTCATATCCGACGCCAATCGTCTGTCCCGAACTCGAATCCTACATGGTAACATTATTGTTAGTGTAAGTGACACTGCCATCAAGAGAGTGAGTTAAACGACCAATTGAAAGTAAATTAAATGGACAATTAGGTACATAAAGGACATAAGCAACAGAGAGAGAAGGTAGAATTTGAACAGTACCAATCCCTTCAGATCGAGTTTGAGAATCATTGGCAGAAGTTATAGTAGGTAAGAAACCAGAGGTAGAGAGGGAAGAGAAAAGATTTTTATTACCGGTAACATGATCAGATGCACCAGAATCAAGGATCCAAGGTCAAATAGGATATGATTGAGAGAGGCAAACAAATGAGTTACCAGTGCGTGTCACTGTAGCAGTAGAATCTGAGTTATGATAATTCTGATACCACTTGAGGAAATCATCGTAGTTTGGTGTAAAGTTCTGAGGAGTAGCCATGAGTATCTGAAGAGAGGTGGCAGTGTGGGTGCGTGAGGAAGTTTCTGCCGGTGAAAAATTTTGTCAGAAGGTCACCAGGAATAGTAGCGATGAAGGTGGATGGCGGATATGCGGTTATGACCGAAGAATATTTGAAAACTGATGGTGGGGTCGGCTTTCCGAAACATTGCTAGAAGTTTTGTCAGAACAGTATCGGCTAAAATGGCGGCAGGGTGGTTACCAGAGAATTGTGAAAAGTGAGAGGCAAACCAGAGTGACAACACGGTATGTAAAAAAAATTCTCACCGGAAGACAGTGGGTTAATCGTGTAAAACACAACGAAGAAAGAATTGCCTCTTAGCGGGCTCTAGATACCATGTTGAAATACAAGAGAACTTTCTGAATCAAATGGTGTTATGATTCAAATTAATTACAAGTTGTGATTTGAATCATGATAACTTTCAACACTTCGTGCATTTCTGTTTCATTTGATTCAAGTCATGTGATGTGTGATTTGAATAACACATCTAGAATCTCAAATGTTTGCAATTTTAAAGATATTTTGAGATCATACCAATGTCATGACTTGAACTAATCTCAAATTTAATTATTGATCCAAAAATACTTGACATGTTGACTTAAAGCATATGACTTACACTATAATCAAACACTTTGATTTATCCATGCTAAAATACGGATCTAAAACTCGATCCAGAAATGCCCAACTGGTGATGAGACTCAATGACATAAAACTAAAAAGCAAAAGCTTAATAGACAAGCAACAAAACCATAACTATTAAGGTAGTAAAGACATGCAACTTCATAATACACTAACTTTTCAGATGCAAGATAGTGAAATTTCAAAAAGGGAAGATAACTGTTAAACTGGGAACATGGCTCAAAGAAAAGAAAAGCTGAATTTTCAAGAACTATACTCAAGCATGCAAAAGGAACTAGATTGTATCAAACGTGTCAAATCACTCGCACACAAATCTCAATGTTCTAGTTTTTAAGAGTTGTAATGATGACACTTTCGAAAAGACGTTTGAAGTATGGAGCATTAAATGCATGAATCACTAATAAAGGTAATAAAAAGTTACTTTTTTGCTCCTTCAAAGCTAAATAAGAGAGTGGTCGACATTCGAAACTAACACCACAAGCTCTTGCCTCGCTACACATAATCAAGGGCTTAAGGGGCAAGAGATCCAAGTCTCAAGTACATCCAACAGCTCCCCACAATCACTTCAAACTAATTGCAAATTAGTTATTTCATCTCTACTATATTATAGGAAATGCGTCATATTAAGTATTAAGTTTTAAATTCAATTTTAATTTACTCTTTTCTCTCACATACAAACTTAAATATTAAAATATCAACTTTATAGATCAACCCCTCTCTACCGCGTCAGAACTTCAAATTAGTCATTATTTTTAATTATTTTTAGTTCCATAACAAAAACAAATGACATATATTTTGTTTTAATAGAATTTCATGTTATGATTTGTTTTCTGCACATTAGCTTTCATTTCCCATTTTTTTAATATATATATATATATATATATATATATATATATATATATATATATATATATATATATATATATATATATATATATATATATATATATATATATATATATATATATATATATATATATATATATAATCAATTAATACAATAAGAAAAAGGTACATTATTTACCATAATTTTATTTAAATATAAATTTTAATAGAGAAACAAACTTAGTTAATAAGGAAGGCAAACAATAGACAAAAGATAAGTATAAATTGTCAAATTTGTAACTTAAATAAAAAAGTGAATGCTAGAATCTCATAATTGCCAAACTTGTTACTACTTAATATGTATTTAGCTCAACTACTATAACATCCTTTAGATGTGTCGTGACCAAAGGCTCCAAGAAAGATGTTCTTACTTTCTCGCCTAACCAAGCAATTAAAAGACCCAATTACGTAAAGAATAAAAATAATTATTTTACTTATCTCTTTATTAAAGAAGATTCTCATCTTCTCCCTGTTTTTCATTTCAAATAAGTTCTACTCAATACCTTTATATTAAATTTTAAAAAAATTATTAGAAATCAAATATTTTTTTATAAAGATTAATTTTTCGAAAAGAATCTTCTCAAGTATTTTTTTTAAGCGCACACTAATTAAAAAATATAAAAAAGAAATAAATCAATGATATAACATTACTTAAATATTTATTTCTTTTCATTTTTTTCTTTATTATTTTTTATTTTAAAACTACTCTTACATTATATACATAACCCCTACTCATAGGTCTACCATTGCTTGTTAAGTTAACCTAAATAAACCTTGGCAAGCACTCAAAGAACAAAAAGAGCTTCAAACTCTCAACACCAAACCAAACCCCTTTACTTTCAAATTGACAAACATTTCTCAACCAAATAATATCTTTCTTCTTCCATCAAACATGTCTCTTCAACCTCCACCACAACAGCCTGTTCAAGATTACCCAACAGCATCCACGAACCAACCATCTTCTCATCACTCAGATGGAAATTACGGTCCAGTTTTCATTGTCCTCGCAATATTACTAGTCATTTCAGTAGTTGGTTGTTTCCTCGGACGCCTATGCAACCGCCGCAAAGATAATAACAACAACCACAATCAAAACCTACCACGCAACGCTCCTTTGAGACGACCGGTTAAGCCGAATAGGCAGCAGCAGATACATGATTTACAATCAAGAGAAGAAGAGGATGTTGAACTTGGTGGGATTGATAAAAGAAGGCCTCCACCAATAATTACAAGGCCTAGAGTTGTTGCTTTTGAACCAGAAGACAGAGGTTTTCAGCCACACGGGAATGATTTTGAAATGAAATCTGATCATGAAGGTGATCATCACCTTAGAACAGGTTTAAGACAATGATATGAAACTGTGTACTAGTGACTTATTATAAGTAAATATTCATTTTTTAGTTTTATTAAATCATTAATATATTCTATATAAAATTTAATAAAATTCTCAGTATAAATTTAATTCCTTGCTTTAATTTTCAGTATTGGATTTCCAATTTCATGATGTAATTGTAATTAAAAATTATATATGTTTTCTTACTTTTATGTATCAAATTTATTTGACGTGTATTCCATGACATTGTTTTTACGAGCACCATTATCTTTTGAATGTTTGCTTCTTCTCCCATAAAAATCTTTGCATTTCTAGAATACCATACACACCTGATTTATGGTATTTTTGATAAATCACAGAAGTTTTAGTTTATTTAAAGTCAAAAAAATTTCAAAGACTATGTGTAAAAAATGACGTAATTTATCCTTGAAACTTAAATGTTTGAATAGTAAGAATTTGAGTAGAGAGGAAACAATATAATGCATAATTGCTTTGAAAGAAGAAAGTAAACGAAAAAAATATAACAAATGTCATTAAATAAATGCTTGAATTTAAAAACTTAAAGAAAGGATGCAAGTTCATACATCTCACAAATTGTTTCTCTACGTGACTTTGGATATTTTAATTCTATAAGGAGTAAATGAAAATTGCGACCCCTTATCACATGACCAAACTTGTTTTATATACTATTACAATCTTAACCGTTGATAACAGTTACTTTAGCCTGATCCGACACATACTCCCTTACGTGGGCTTCAATCTTCAAGCATGTTTTCATGTGTCTTAAATGTTTGAACTACTGCAAACCATCACCTACACTGATAATTGCCTTTAAATCTACCAACTGCCTCTATCAATAATTTCTAGTTGACTCCTATAGTATTGTCGAAGCACCCTTAGTGTAACTGACCTCTGGATAAAAACACATCAAGTCCCTATCATCTGATGGATGCACCGAACTCGACACTTATACAACACATTTCCACGTCGAAGTGTTTATTTGTGCAAACCTTTTTTAGATGTTAGACATATTTTGAAGAGAGTGTTCCTAATTTTATGGATTTGTTTCTGAGACTCTTTCAAAACAGACTCACATATGCCCTCCAAAATTACCACTTTCAATCATATGCAAAAGATGGAAGAAAGGTGGTGTTTTTAGTAACTGCTCGACACTGTTCAAGGTAGTCTGCTTACGTCACAGTCGTCATGACCACTTTTCACCAAATTGTGGCGTCAGTCTACATGTGTAAATTTATCAATCATTACTCAGTGTTGCTAGGACATTGTGGGCCACAAAATCAATTACAATAAAAAATATTTAATTGATTTTTTAAATCAGAAAATTCAAGCGTCATTTGTTCAAATCAACTAAAGACATCAGAGTGTTTCTTTTCCATTATATACATCCTTACACTTTGATTTATTATTTTTCACAACTTCTTCTTTTTTAGAGTCCTAAAAATTTCCTTCTTCTTAACATTTACTTATAATCCCCAAATTTCAACCTCTTATGAGTTTCAAAACAATGGCTTATTCTCTTTTACTCGTGCAAGCTATAATACCTTCATCAAAGATCACCATGAGGATCATGAGGAAGTCTCTGACCATGAGCATATTGCTTTCCTCACTTATTGGTTATCCCTCTTTATCTTATGTTCTAGCTCTTTGTAGGTAACCAAGAAATTCAAACCTCTAAAACTCAAATCCATGAAAGGCGGAACATCTTCCTGAGCAAACTGACTTTAGGCTCCCTATATAAGGCTTTTGGGCTCGTTGCATCTGACCTAAAATCCATAATCAACCCAGCCCAAAACTTTTGATCTCTGGACCAATGTGGCTTCTACAACTGTGGATTAATTCCACTTTTGAACCTTCCTTAAAATTTACCATACCTTCCAACCTAACATAACATATTAAAGTAAAGAAGGTCGAAGCCATTGGCCTTACTCTTATTAATCCAGAAGATATCGGCCTCTCGACCGATGCAGCTTTCAAAACATACTTTCTTATGTATGAAAGTTATGTTACCTTTTACTCTTCTATAGATTCTTTCGTCAGTCTTAGTTACGATCTAGATTGGTTTAAGAGAGGGTTTTCACCTCTTTCTCTTGAACCATAATCTGAAGCTCTCGACATCTAGATGACTTTTCTCAAGCCTACAATGTAATACCCTGTATTTGATAAAATGCTCTAAATAGAATTAGCTGAGATCAACTGGGTTCCAGTGTGCTCTGAGAGTTATCTATTGAGATGATTAGAGTAACTGATGAGCTCATAGTTGATTTAAGTAATATTATCCGACTCTAAGGTTTTACTATTGGTACATTAGAGACATTTTGGATACCCTTGAATTAAACTTTTACCAAGTTAATCTTATTAACTTTAATGATATGTTCTAAATATAATTTTTTTTTCTTCTTTCCTTATTCTTTCCAACTTTGTGGGATATGTAACACCCTGTTCTAACCCAACGCATATTTAAAATAATTCAAAATCAGAGTGCACGAATTTTGCAGGCATGACGACCGTCATGGAGTCGTGACGACCGTCACACGCACAAAAACTGAGACGCAACAGAGGTGTCACATATTCGACTTACAAAAACATACATTTCACCATTTAATTGGACAACATGTATTCAGTGATGATACATAGCACATAATCTTGGATGAACAACTAATAACAACTTACATAACATCTTAATTACATAGCAACATATTCATTTGCAGCGGAACATAATGCACTTTCAACATTTATGATAATCAACGTGATACTAGAAATTTACGACAGAACTCCATTAAAATTCAGCAAGTAATTTCAACCATAAAATCCGCATTTCCGATCCATCGATCTATTGCGTACAACCAATATTTGGCGTATTAACAAAGCACCCAACTTAATAAAATACTTCATAAAATTCAGCAACAAGAAAATAAATAAGAGCAATAACAATAATCGTTCATCCCCCCAAGAGTGCTACGTATCAGAGCGACCAACGACAACTTAAACGACAATGCGGAACTTCATTGCGAACTACCTGCAAATTACCACCAGAGGAGGTAACATACAACGTAAAGGGGTGAGATATCAACAATATAACATAAGGCATGATAGAAGTCATACTAGAAATCATATCACAGCAATATAATCTTCGCAAACTTACAAATATCAGAAACAATCATCTACAAGAAAAACCATATCTCACGTATACCACAACCACCTACAACCAACATAATCATGCAACTTAATGCGACTCAATTAATGCAACTCAACTATGCATATGCATGTGGTATCATTTAGGAGCCAACACTCCAAAACTCGGGACAGGGCCAACACCCCGAACCCATCTAGGAGCCAACACTCCAAAACTCGGGACAGGGCCAACACCCCGAACCCATCTAGGAGCCAACACTCCAAATAACGCCAATACAGGCACAACCGTCGCCAATCCAGGCCAAATGACATGCCATGAAATGCATCTATTATGGACTACAACACAAGCATAACAACCATATAACAAGGCATTAAGCCTACAACCAGAATGTCCATAACAAAGCATCACAACATCATACAACTCATACAACCATCACTTTATACCCGTTCACATACGGGAACAATAACAACATAATTTCAACATTTACGACTGTTCATGTAAAGGAACATTACAACATCGTACCAACAAATAGGAACTCAAAGTGTTCATCCAAAACGGTATTCCTATATAGGTATAACATCAACATCAGTTCAACAATTAATCTTTAACATCTTATCGTAATAACAACATTACGGCATCTTCTCACATAATTAATTACAAATCAATCACAACCAGGTAACTGTCCTTTTTGGCCAATTAGGGAAAACCATTAGAGCGTTATACGAATAACCGTATAGCATATTCGTTCTACGTATTTGCCCATAAGGAAACCTTAGAGCATCGCACTAATAACTACATAACACATTCATTCCTACATAAAAATCTTGTCCCAATAGGGAAACCTTTTCCTTAATATTTATCGATTAACGAAAACTATACCTATGACTCTATTCCCCACATGAATTCGATCATACCCATAGTTATATAATTGAACCCCACCCTTACCTTAGAATTGAGGTCAATTCCACGCTTTCCGATTCCGCTTCTGCTCTACGGTGATTTTTCTGCAACAATCTTCCAAATCTACCGATCGACAATTCTTCTCTCTTCCTTTCTCTCCATTACGTAACTTCTCTTTTCAGTCTTTTCTTTCCAAAAATGATGTAATTGAGGGTAAAAGAGTCTACGGGAATATATTTTTGCTGCAAATTCTCATTCCACCAGAACACGTTCAAATTCTGCATAACTGCAGTTTTTGCTCGTGTGACGGTCGTCACACTCCTGTTACGGTCTTCATAGCAGCAAAATTTCATTTTTTCCAGATAGAACATCTCTTTAGCTTTCCAACGCTTCGAACGGGGGTCAAATCCGACTTACGGATCAAGAGATATGAATTTTCAAAGTTTTCTGACAAAACCAGAATTTTTCCGACAATTCGACCGATTCAATTCCTTTCTTCGAGACGAACTCATACTCAAATACGACTACGACGCAACGAGACATGGCAAAGTCATAATTGGATTTAATCTAAATAAAACGGGCGTTACAGGATAAGTAGTAGAAAGAAGGGAATAATATAAGAAGAAGAATAAAGGGAAAGATAGTAAGGAAAAAAGGAAAAAAGAAAGAAAATATAGTAAGAGGAGGAGTGAAAGAATAATAGAGAGAAAAAAGAGAAAGAAGGGAGAAGAGGAAGGAAAAACCCTAAAGGAAGAGGAAACTTCATCTTCATCATCAAATCATCTCATCTTCATCATCAACAACTTCTTCTTCATTATCTAGAGGTGCGTTCTAGATCGAAACCTAAATTTAGGATTTTGGAGAGAATGGTAAAGGTTAGGTTTTGTATGTGTGAATCCAAATATTATGTTAATCTTGAGAATATATGGTAAATCATGTTTATAAGGTTATTATAATATTGTGT